CTGTCTTCCTGCATTCAGGTCCATGGAATTAAGCCGTGAGAAACATAGGGAAATATATGTTTCCCTACTAGAAAGAGAGAAAAGAAGGCTGGGTACACCTATTTCCATGGGGCTCAGTTTCTTGATTTTGTTAAACTATCCCTTTGGGGTGTCTCTTCCCCCCAATTTTTCATTTTTGAAAGTCTGTCAAATTTGGAAATGTGAGGATTATTTTTTTAATACTCATATTAAAATTGTATGAACAGAGCAGAGGTGGCATTCTGCCAGTTCACCCCACTTCTGGGGAGCAGGTAGTGGTGGCGGTGAGACCGCCCACCTGCCCAGGCGTCATCACGGATGCTCTGCACATGTGCAGAAGCACCGCATGCGCGCACTCCCAGTTTCAAACCAGTACTGAAGGTAAGAGGATTTAATGCCTGGAACGGAGGCACATTCCTTTTTTTAAAAATTTTGGCATTCCATAAAGTTATTACAATTTTTACTGATACATTATTTTAGAATATTTGATTTTTGTACATTGGCTACACTCCCCCCCCCCAAAAAAAATCATCCTTTTGGGCATAATGTTTGTCTTTTAATTCAACATCTTTCTACCCATGCTTAGCATATACTGCAGAGTATGAGAAGGTGACAAATTCCCAGCCAGAAATGCAAGACAGTCCACATTGCTCAGTTCTTCCCCTAATAAAATACTTGTAACCAGTGGTGAAATTCAATTTTTTTTACTACCGGTTCTGTGGGCGTGGCTTGGCGGTCTTAACAGGGGAAGGATACTGCAAAACGTCCATTCCTTCCCCATTCTGGGGCCAGTCAAAGGTAGTATTTGCCGGTTCTCTGAACTACTCAACATTTCCGCTACCGTTTATGCCAAACCTGAGAGAACCTGCTGAATTTTACCCTGAGGGCTGAAAGTTCCAGATGACAAAGAGGGACCACCAACTCTTACCATCAATTATTCCTTTTCTTTTGTGCAGGCGCAGCAACACCTTGCAACCGGGAGCCATCGACGGCAACAGGCTTACATCACTCCAACAATTGCTCAGGCACCATATTCCTTCCCACACAACAGTCCTAGCCATGGCACAGTCCATCCTCACTTGGCTGCAGCTGCCGCCGCCCATCTGCCAACTCAACCTCATCTATACACATACACAGCACCCGCGGCTCTGGGTTCCACAGGCACCGTGGCTCACTTAGTGGCTTCCCAAGGCTCAGCCCGACACACCGTACAGCACACTACTTATCCAGCCAGCATCGTCCACCAAGTTCCGGTCAGCATGGGCCCCCGTGTCCTTCCATCACCCACAATCCACCCAAGTCAGTATCAAGCTCAGTTTGCCCATCAAACCTACATCAGTGCATCTCCAGCCTCCGTCTACACTGGATATCCCTTAAGTCCTACAAAAATCAACCAGTACCCGTACATCTAAACACTGGAATGAGAAAAACGAAAAGACATTTCAGCGCACATGGAGAGGAACATGGCTGCTTTTATACTGAAGAATGTCACAGGCAAATGAACAATGCAAATGGGAGATTCCGACAAAACTTGAACGAAGGAGACTTTAAGGAAGAAAGCAGACAAAAGAAGACGAGACACGTTCTACACTTTTATTTAAAAAAAGAAAGAAAAGAAAGAAAAAAAGCTAAAAAGAATGAAAAATAAAAATACAAAAAAATAAATAAAATTCTGCACCAAACCACATAGTGGGAGAAGCAGAAGGACCCCTGTTGTCTGGTCCTGTTTTGGATTACTTCACCAAGAGACTTTTACAGATTATTTTCATCTGATTACAGGAGACTCCGTTTAGGAATTCGTTGTTCAAATCTTCTAATACAAAGTTTCATAGGTGTTTGGGTATATTTTTTTTAATTAAACAAAGAAGCATACAAATTAGGGATTTATCCAGAATTTCAAAAGGGTTATGACTTTGTCTTTGCACTGGTTGCTGTAACCCAAAATAAATAAAAACACAACAAAAAGTGTGATGTGTTTTCTGTTGGTAATGGAATGAGCAAAAAACGAGAGCCGTTTTGGATTATTCCAGCTCTCCCAATAAGTCTAGAAGCATTAGAAAGTTGGGAAGATAGAAAAAACACTGAGCAGAAAACACTATCTGATGAAATCAAAGGTCGTGCTGAATATTTGTTCTTACTCTGAGCATCCTGGATAAATCCCTTTTCTTAAAGGAAAAGTCTTTAATAATGTATGATAGAATCTCAACTTCCTTACTTGAAAATACTTTCCCCCCCCCCTTTATTTCTCTGAATAACCCTTCATCATTTTCAGTCCAATCCTAACATTTGCCTGCTCTGGCTGATGGCTACTTTGGTCACCACTTCACAAAGCACAACAGTGTGTGCTCTTGCTGTTGGAACATAACAGCAGTACTGGGAGCAGGTACCACAATCCCAAGTGTTTAGGATTGGGTTGCTAGTGTAGGAGTAGAAGTTCTAGCTGGCCCTTGGTAGAATGTAGCACTATACATCCATACAGCCGTTTTCTACTTTGTGTTAAGCTCCAGTGATACCAATAGACTTTTCCTCAATGTTATTGCACAAAAAAAGTGATATAACATAGGCATGTAACAAATGTGATTGTCCAGGTATATCTGTGTCTGCGTGTGTGAGTGTGTGCGCATGTGCGCGCTGATGCTGCCTTTTTCTTGTGGTGTGGTCCTCAGCACAGCCATTTTACACTGTCACAGTCTTAGTTTTAAATCATTCCCTTGTAGTGCCTTACCAAACGACAGTTGCAGTTTTAAGGGTTTACTTCCACTGGTACGCCTAGAAACGGACTGAGGCTCGTTCAAATGTAAACTCAGCTCCTTTTTTCTCCTCCTCCTCCTCCTCTTCTTCCTTATTTTTGATTGCTTTCCTTTTTTTCTTCTTCTAGACTTTCAAAAACAAAAATTTAATGTCTTTCTTGGGTAAGTTGCAAGGGCCAAAGGAAGGCTGCTGGGAGTTTGCTGGAATAGAACAATCAGTGGACCTAAGAAAGGGTGTTTTTTTTTTTCTCGGGGTGGGGTGTGGTGGATTTGAGATGTCTGGATGAGTTCTTAGCCCCTAAAGCAGCTTTCCAAGGAATTCCATTGTCTCAATTGTGTTATTAGTTGAATTTCCTTCTAGGATGCTCAATTCTCCATAACGTTTGAAAGTATGAATAGAAAAAGGGGTGGGGTGGGGAGGTGCCCAGGCCTTCTTTGGATTATTAATATGTAGTACCTCGTGTTCAATTGCTTTGCCTAAACTGGGGGAGGGCGTAAGGGTGGAGTGGGTGAAGGGCAATGACGTGGAACGAACTTTATATATTTTCATTGGACTGGTTTCAGAAATCTGAGAAGAAAGAGGTATTCTTTCTAGAACATCAGGCTCAGACTGGTGCCAAAAGCTGGTTTGGTTTGGCTTTCTTCTGTTCTTGAGAAGCAGTTGCACTGGAGCTTCATGTTGTGGACTTGGGATGGACTCTACTACGCTTATAGCAGGTCTGACTCTTAGGGTACGGTCTGAACATGTCTAAGCAACACATTCTGCATTTAGGAGCTAGCTTGGAGATGCCACCATAACTGTTCATGGTTTTGATCAGCTTCCCCCAACTGGTGTTCCCTAACCAGATGTACATGAATCCCACAATATCCTGTTGGCTGTGCTAATTTGGAATTCTCCCAAGATATCTAGAACTAGATGGGGAAAGATATTTTTTTTTTAATCAGGTGCTTTCTTCGCTTTGTCCCGTTTTGTTCTTACTATGCTTTTCTTTTTCTTAAAAGTAATAATCATCATAACAATGTTAACAGTAGCTCATCAGACCCTGTATCTTCCACAATAAATTATTTGTATTCCCCCCCTACCTTTGGCATATTCTTTTTCAGAAGGATTCCAAAGAGAAGTATTTGTACAATAAAATAACAACAAAAGAATTAGTAGATACTTTATGGTGACATCACTAGATTTTTCTGTTGTGTAAGTCTTTACTGTTCCCTCCCCTGTGATGTTTTACTTGTATTAGTGGTTTGAAGTTGATTGTAAAAAGGGCTGTCTGCCTTTCTCAACAGTCATTATGGCTTCTAAGCTAAGGCTACCAGATCTGGGACTGCAAAAATTTGAAGATGATATCGAAAAAAAAGTAACAGAGTTATCTTTTATCTTTTATCTCTTTACTGTCGTCTAGTGATCATCATGACTTTTTGCAACCCAGATCTGGTAGCCCCCAAGTAGCAGAGACACCAGTTTGGGAATGGCGAAGGGAGAAATGTCAAGGAATCAGTATGGCGGTTGTAAAAATATGTTCAAAGCCCCTCCTCCTTTTTTAACCATTTGTGGTGATGCATGTAAAGACTGAGCTTTGATTATGGGGTTGCCATCTTGTTTTTTTGTTTTGTTTTTTAATTTCTGCTAATAAGTGTCCCAATTTTTCTGGCTTCAGAAAAGAAGTGCTTAGGCAATAGGATAAGATGTTGGGTTAAGGCAAGTCAGTTAATTGAGAGATGAGGGAGGGATCTTAAGAGGTGGTAAAGATAAAAAGCTTGCTCATGAGGGGAGTTGAGAAGAAAGACAAGCATAGTTGTCATACTTGGAAGTGGGCACACTTGCTTCACTAGCAGGAAGGAACCCCAAATATTAAGGTGGACACTATTATTTTTCTGAAGTAAATCACTGGAAGCAAAACTGGCTTCTTTTCAGCTATTTAGAAACTGAACTCCATTTTATTTTTAATTTTTAGTATCTCTCTGCTCCAAAGTATAGTAGTGTGGTTGGTGGGATTCAATCGGTGTGACAACCGGTTTGCTGAGCGCGTGCGCAGTGAGTTTGAAAACAGCTCAAAAAGTTACCTTCTACTGAAGACCCGGTGAGTAAAACACCTGAGGCGCAGCAATCTGCTTTGCCGCGCCTATCAGCTGGGCTTCAAACAAGGGAAATATAGGTCAGTATAGCGCAGGGGCAAGCGGGCCCACCTGATCATTGGGGTGAACTGGTTTGCTCTCAGCTGATCGTTGGAACTATTGGTTCGCCTGAACCGGATGAATCCCACCCTTGAGTAGTGTAAAGGCACCTGCCTTTTTGAAGAGAATATTTTTTGCTTCCCCAATGAAGAAATTCCTCACCAGCAGCTGGGTCTTAATAGAACAGTGCATATTCCTCTCTTTCTGTCCAGGTTCAAGCACCAACTGCTGATATCTTTGAGAGGAAAGATCCTACCATTCAATCCTTGTTGTATTACTAATTTTAATATAATTATATTTTAATGTTTGCTTTAATTGCACTTGCATTTCTGTGTACGCTTGTTGTTAATGTTCTCGTAATAAGGTATTCATTAAGTATAACTTATTAAGTATTTTTTCTGTGTTATTAGCATCAACATGTTTACCCCTCATGTAGGTTTAGGAAGGAAGGAAGGAAGGAAGGAAGGAAGGAAGGAAGGAAGGAAGGAAGGAAGGAAGGAAGGAAGGAAGGAAGGAAG